TGCCCATTAGTTTGATCATAACCTGAGTTCTATAAATCTCTTTTTAGGTGATTTTAATGACATTTGAAAGCTAACATCTAGGAACACAACTTTTATGAACACCACAAAAGTCAATTCTAACTTTAACAAGGTGCACAACCGTGCAAAAATTCAGCACGAGTGTGCTTACTTAAGCACGAACGTACTTCACAATAAGCATAACCATACTATTAGAAAAAACTTCTGAAACCATTTGAAACTCCATGTGAAGCATGAGTTCAACCTTCAAACTCTCTATTCTTCCACCAATTTGTAACATCCATTTTTTCATAATAAGTTAATATAAGATTTTTAATTAAATAATTGGGGATAATTTGAAAACAAGAATAGTTAAGAAAAAGGTTATTTTTTTAACTAATTTTTTTTTTGATAATAGTTATTTATCTTTTTAAATAGTGATGAGTAATTAATTGGGGTTGTTTTGATATTAAGAGTTATTTGATAAATAAGAATATTTTCTAGTTAATTATGATAGATAATTATTTGAATTTCAAGAGGGGAGTAACAAACGGTGAATTAATGGACTTTTATTGACAAGTTATGCAAGGGTTAGGGTTTCGTGTTCCCTATTTATAGATTAATAAACTAAGGTTGCCTCTGATAATTAACACACATCCTTGTACTCTAAAGAAGAGAGAGTGACTTGTCATTGAAAGAGAACAAAAACAAAGTACAAGAGAGAAAAAAATATAGAAAATTGATTATTCAATTTGCATATCAACTAGGCAATGATTTTAGAATTGCAACCAGAGTTTTTTTTTACCATTGGATAAGGCATATTTTTGGACAACTAATTTGTAGGACATTATTCTACATTTTCAATGGTTGAATTGTCAAAAGAATGTATGGAGTTGGAGAAAATCATTTCTCAATAAAAGTTATACTCTTGAGGGTTTTCATCTTCTTGCTTCTCATTGAGGAGGGAGAACCAAAAGTGGTATCGGAGATCCATATATGGAGTTTGGCATCTATCAAGATAAGGGGGAGTGAAAACCTTGATCTGAGATGTGGGTTATTTGTTAGATAGCAGGATTGACCCCTAATCCCGTTATTTGTATGTTTGTATGCATGAATGATTAAACCCATTTATTTTTTGTGATTGTAATGTGTATTATATGTGTATATAATGTGTCCTTTGTTTTCAAAATGTTCTATTGTAATATAATGATATTATTAATCTGTAAAATTGTAATTTTGACTTAAGTAACAATGGTTAATGGATTACATGATTAGTTGAATGTGAGAGTGAGTTACCTATGAACTGTGGGGTGAATGAATAACGTGTACTTTAGAATGAGAATTGTGAATATATGAGAGGCATTAAATGCTTACTTTGTGAAACCTTTGAGACATGTGAAACTAGTGATTAAGCCTAAGCATAACTTAGCGGTGATATGTGAAATATATTGTGATATGAATGTGATTTATTGGTTGTGCATTAGAGTCTATGTATGACATTATTCATTTACATAAATGTGTTTTTCGTGTGATGGGTAATGTGAAATATGTTGTCGGGTAAGGTCCCCCTTGTGTAAAAGCTTGGGATTCCATGACCTTGGGGATAACTAGGTATGTGAGTCCTAATACAGCCATGCTGAGTGTGTGTGGGGTGAAATTTGGCCAACATAGTTATCCTGACGCACCCTAGTGTATTTTCTTTTAGCAAGAGTGCTATGATGGCATGATCGGACATGTACTCCTAAACTAATCAGCCTTTGGACGATGGTAAAGTGATTTATAGGTGTCACATGTATGTAATTAGGAGAGTCTTGTCCTTGCATGAGCATAGCATGTTTTGTACATTGAACTATGATGTGATAACATGTGGAGTGTTAGAATGCAAATAAATACTTATTAATTTTATTGTTATTAATTATTGATACATGGATTATATGATCTATGTGTGTGGTTACCCATCTTTTTCCTCATCGGTAGCTAGAGTGAGATATGCTCTTACTTCCCTTTTCTTTGTTGTTTTGTTCCAGATTTAAATATGCATGTCATTTTGAATTTAGAGGAGTTTAATTGATGGGATAACACTGATAAGATGTGACATTGAGGTTCTTAGTGTAAGGATTATTTATGTTTTATTTGAATTAGACATTTTAGTTTATTTCATTTATAAACATTTTTCCAAAGTGTTTGAACTTATAGCAACAATTTATTTGGTTTTAATTTTTGAATTTTGAATTTGAATGTACTACTTTTTACTCATGATTTTGAGTAATAAATGAGGTATATTTTAGATATATTATTTTACATTATTGAGCATATGCATGTGGATAGAGAGTATTACATAAACTAAATATTTTTTGTCTTTTTTTTTTTAAGAAAGAAATCCTATTTACTTCTTAAAACACATATTTTTTAAAAAGTAATTTTTACATAATCATTTATTTAAGTTGAAACAATATGACTTATTATCACAACATAATTAATCACTTTTTAAAAGATATAATACTCTAAAATGTTAATAAATTTATATAATAAGATAAGATAATATTAATAATTAGTTTTTAATCCTTATTTTGAGTCAACAAAATTTTCCTTGATTATTTATATTTGGATGGAAATTTTTAGAGGAAAAACTACTTCAAATGTTAAACACTTTATATAATAAGATAATAATTAACTTAAAAAGTAATATATAATATATTGTTCAAGTTATATTTTTACAAATTAGGTAGCTTAGTGGTTTAAATTACGAGTTTTATAGTGAAAGTTATGAGTTATAGGTTTCTTTAGGTCAATTTTTACAATTTTCTAAATAAAACTTATATTTTCTTATAATGCCAACGCCACATCAGTGATTCGCATCATCACTAAGTGTTATCTCATCAGTATGCGAGTCACCATGTCACCTTCAAAAAGTGACATATCATCAGTTCTTCAACATTAATGTAACATCATGATTTTAAAAATTGAGTACCAAAATTTTATAATTAAAAGAGGAACCAAAATTGTGAATTAGAGATTGTAGGAAGACCAAAATTTTAATTTAACTTAAAAATAAATTGTTACTATATTATTTTTTACAACCAAAAAATATATTAGGTGCTGCTAATTATATTTTTCCTTAATTTACAAAGCAACATATGGACTTAAGATAAAAATACGTGAAAGCTTCATAAAAAAAATGTCTAAAGAACAAATATTATACAAGAAGAAAAAGCAAGAAAATATATAATAAAAAAATAGTGCTAAGAAAAAAAAAAGTATATGTTAGTATATTTGAAACTTTAAGCCATCAACTATTTTTTAGATAAAAAATAATAAATAAATATTTATTGTAAAAATAATTATAATCAAATCAAGGGAAATACTAATAAATCCATTCAATTACAAATACAATTATATATATATATCCTAAAATAATAATAATAATAATAATAAATAAAAAAACTATAAACAAAATAGAATTAAAAATAAAAATAAATGATATTTTAATATTTGTCAAAAATAGAAAAAAATACAATTATGTTCATAATGAAGAGCATAAGGAAGGGATGAAAATATTTATCTAAAATGAAAAATGAACAACATTATCTTTAAAACAAAATATTATTAAAAAAATAAAATATTTTTACAAAAATAAAAAATGGTGCTTAAATATATATTTTTGTACCAAAAAAAATAATTACATTATTGAAAAAACTATTATACATATTATAAATTAAAAATAAAAAATAAAAAATCATGAGGCATGACGAGACAGAGGTGGGGGAGCAGGGGCTATATAATGTGTGTTCGTCCCATCTACGATATTTTTATAAATTGGGTTATGTAGAACAATTATTTTTTAAACCAATAAAAATGTGATTATGTTTTTTCAATTCTTTCCTACTTATTATTGATCATTTTTTACGTATTATTTTTACACATAAAGTAGATTCAATTCCACATTTAATCAAATCAATTAACATTGAAACAAATAAATTGACCATGGTGTGGGTGTGCTTAATTGGATAGCAGATAACAACTCACTAAGACTAATGGTAATATTCATGAAATGAAGATTGAGTTAGGAGCTTCGCCCGTCAATAAGGCTATGGTGGTTCAAGAAGGTTGTATTTTCATTCATGAGTGGATGGGACATTGTAGTCTCCTAGGGTTTAGCTTAAGCTATGAGGTGCAGAGACAAAACAAGGTTAGTGTGTTCTACATTTTGTTTTGTGAATGTGTGCATTGTGTGGGCCTTTAATTATGAATAAAGCAATTATTTTTACAATAGAATTGCTAAGGTGACATAAAGTTAAATGTTATTAAAGATGATTGTTCCAAAATTCTTCAAATTTGAGAGGGTATTGTAGAATTTCTCTTATTAAAGAACTTTGGGTTTGGAAAACCTATATCAAAACTTTTCTTTTTCTTACTTTAATCTTCATTTCAGTTTTTGAGGTTTCGGTATAAGTTATTTGGAGAGAAAAAAACATGGATGAAAAATGTTACCTAGATAGGTTGACGTTAGTAGAAAACACATTTTCTTTGTGGGTTTTTCAACATTCAAATCTAATCTAAACCACTTGAATAATTGCATTTACGAATGATATTTCATATATTTTAGGTTTCATTTTTCCATATGAAAATAAATTAAAAAATATGTACTTAAAGAGCTCAAAAATCTAAGCCATGATGGATATATTTGTGTGATGCGTCAATTTTTTGCACATTTTTTTATTATTAAAAAATTATGATTTTTGTTTGAGATCAGAATGGATATAATAACTTTTGTAGTGTCGTGTAAATCATCCTAAAATATCATATCAGAAATAGCTTTAGGCATAAGCATCATTAACACCTACAATACATAATAACACAACATATAAAAACAAATATTATTAAAAAAAAAAAACAAACTATATAAGTTGACTAAATGAGTATCATGTCAACATATACATGTTACTCAAAGGTAATAAGTTTTGTTTATACCAAATGAAAGACCAAGAAGTACCATTAAGAAATTTGCCAAAGAGAAACAAAATCTGAATGAATAAAGAAAATAGTATCATGCAGTTTTTCAGAACAATAGTAATGTTTCTCCACAAAATCATTATTTATTTTTTTTAGGTGGCAAATGAGTGAATGCATAGAGCCTAATTAAGGTTCTGCATATAGCATGAAGTCTCTACATTCTTGGCAATTGCAATCCTCAAAGCGGCACTTGATGCACCCTTTGCAATAACAAGACAAGCAACCTTGGCAAGTTGCAGCACGAGGACAACCTCTACTTGCTCTCAGACTTGGTCTCTCTTCTTCAGTATTGCAGGTTATTCTGAAACATCAAATTTCTCACATCCTTAACCATACATATCACAACTAAAAATATAACATCTTATTTCAATATTATCCTTTTTACTATATTTTATATGAGCTAATGTGAATAAGTTTTCAATCGATGAATGTTTATATTAATTAGTGTTAAGCAAGCGTATAAAACTATAATTTTTCAAAATTCTCAAGATTATTTTGGTCAGACACTTTATAGCCTGTTTAGAAACTTGTTGAGAAAGAAAGAATCACAATTGAAATGTGAATTTTCTAATTATTAGCTTATGAAAATCTCATCTCATATATGAAAAATCACATCTATAATGAGAAACCAAACACATTATTAGTCTTTTTTTTTTCTTTCAGTTTCTTTTACTACTAAAAAGGATTAAGGTTATATTTAGATAACCTTTCCAATATAAATACTTATAAAAGAAAAAAAATTGAAAAGTAAAATGCATTGAGTTTATCTAATAAGTTAAGATAAAATTGTAAACTTCACTTTTATTAAAGTTATCTCTTTTAACCTCTCTTAAAAGTTAAGATGCCTAAGTTTATTTAAATAATTCCTAAAAATGAATGCAATATTCTAGAAATAATACTAGTAAAGGATTTTTAAAATTTAAGGAATTAAAATATCCAATCAATGCAATTTGAGTTATAAATGATTGGTTTAGTAACATTACAAGATAATAATAATCATGAATAACATAATATCATTTAACAATTGTGAGTTGGGAGAAACTTACTTTTGATGAGGAAAAAGAGAACAAGTCCAAGATTTGTTAGTCAAAGCATCATGGTACTCCTTAATCTCTTGCCTGCCCCTAAGACGGAACCTACGTTCCTTTTTGCAACTTGAGCAATGTATGAACTCATCCCTATGAAAGTTTCTTTTCCTATTTGCTGCATCTTTCCAGTTAGCCACATTTGCTTGATGTGTGTAGTATTTCATCAAAGGTGTCTTCGAGAGAGGGACTCTGTCTTCATTTTCGTAATGAACCCAAATGTTGCTTTTCCATTTTCCAGAACCTTCTTTGAAAGCATGTTTCTCAAAGTCCTCCAGAGTAACACTCTCTGGTTATTAAAAAAAATATGTTTCCATTAACTTTAGTTTTCTTTCTCATTTCTCAAACAACTAATGATACAAGGTTTAGGGTAAACAAATAATGCATAAGATCAAAATAGTAGTAATAATTTTTTGTCTCGTTCTCATTGACTCAAAAAAATTGTATTAAATATTATAATTGTAATAACAATATAATTCATATAGTTAGTGGAAGCTTATCACTAGAAAGTATGAGGAAATCATTGTAACCATTTAATTTTATATGAATTGTTAAGATTAACTTTTTTCTTTTTTAGTTTCTTATGGGTATTCTTCTTCAAAGACAAATTTTTTTGAGGTATGATATTCACTAAGAGCGTGTTTGAGGTAGATTATAAATGGGGATTTACATTGTTTTTTGAGTAAAAGAATTGTTTGCAAAATAAGTTGTGTTTAGGAGTATAATAAGAATTTATAAAAAAAAAATTGTTTCCATCTAAAAAGAAGTAGTTTTCATGCATCTGAGAATCTGAAGTTTGTCCTTATTTTCCATTTTGATTATAATAAATTATATGTATAGTTGAGTATTGAAATAATCAAATTTTCACACCTATCACAAATACACTCTAAATGTGGACATTTCTCTAAACAAAGATTTGAACTTTGATTTGCGGCATTGTGAGGGACTAACCCTTTCTACTAGACCGAAAAATGACATATCAAGTGAAAATTAAAAGAAAATAAAAAGAATTAGTTTAGAAAGAAAAAAGATTGACTTCTCTAAAAATAGATAAGGATAAAGTAAGAAATCTTAGGCGCTGATGAGAAGATTAATTGTTGATATTCCAATATATTTATGATTTATTATGCCTATACATGTAATATTGATCATTGAGTTTCTCATCAAAGACTAAAAATTCTTTATTCTCTATAGTGAGACTCATGAACAAATGATCACAATGAATTATTCTCTAAAGTGAGACTTATACAACTCAAAACTTTGTAATTTTTGAATGTCAATTGTGTAAGTTGGTTATCTAATGGAGGTCACACTCACTTATACAAGGGACCCTCAATGCAAGGGTAAAACCCACGATCATTCAAATGAAAGAAATAACTTCACTATGATCAATAATTGTACAAAAGAATCTCTAAAAAGTGTATCAAAAAGTTCTTACAGAGTTAGCCAAACAATACAAGAACCAATGCTTACAAGTAAGAAACAAGAACATGAAAGAAAAAACACTCAAAATAGTTGTTGCAAGTAGTTTTTCTCTTTCTCCATACCTTTTTCATTGATTTGAATGTTGAAAACCAAGTCTTATCTATCTTTTGTCCAAAAACCATCTTGATTCATCGGTGAATGGGGATTTGGATGCAAATGGCTACCTAATGACTATGTGAGATGAGTTTTCTTTATTTTTATTCTCTCTTATAGTTATTATTTTTACTCAGAATAATGAGTCTTTTTTACCATAATTTGACCTATCTCCCATTGGATAAGTGAGACTAAATGAACTTACACATTTGAGCCTTTCTCCACATAAGAAGGGATTACAAAACTCAACATATCCCTCCAACAAAACCATGTGGAGCTAAATGTCAATTTGGTTATCTTAGAACAAACTTCAAACTTCAAACTTCCCTTTAGGTAGCCTTTTAGTCATCATATCAATACCATTATCATTAATATGACTTTTTTCTAGCTCCAACAACTTAGTGTTTGAAGCATCTTATATCATATGATGTGTCACATCAATGTGTTTGAACCTTGAATGGAAAGTTAATTTTTACCCCCAATGAATAACACATTGACTATCCTGATAGAACAAATATTTGTCTCAAACAAAACTAAGTTCATACAAGAATTTCTTTACTTATAACAACAATAAAAATGATTTTTTTTTATATTTTAATAAACAAAGCTACAAACCTTTGCAACCTAGATTGCCAAGTCAAAGCACCCCTTGCAAATTTAATCATATAGCTTAAGGTGGACTTCTAAGAGTCAATGTCTCTCAACACAGTGGAGTCTAAATACTCTACCAAAGTAAGCTTATAACCACCAAAACAAAGTCTTATTCCAATGGTACCACAAAGATACCACAATTTCATTTCATAACATTCCAATTTTTTTTATAATTTTTTTTATCTAGATTAGACAAAAATCTACTAATTGTAACATGTACTATATTTGGTCTTGTCTAGACCATTGCATATATGAACCTATCCATCACAAATGCATAAAGAGCTAGTTCTATCTAATTTCTCAATTTCATTTGATAGACTTTGTTTAAAATTCAACTCAAAGTGAGTAGAAAGAGGAGTTCTCACCATGTGGCCTTTCCCATCTAAAATCTTTGTAACACTTTTTTAATGTAATGTTCTTGGACAAGAAAAACTTATTCTCTTTTCTATCACACATGATTCTTATACCAAGAATCTACTAGCACTCTCATGTCTTTAATAGCAAATGCCGCCTAATTTCTTCTTCAATCTGTCAATGCTAAAAACATTTTATTTCTTCAAATAATAAACATATCATCAATATTAAATAATAGGATAATAAAGTCATCATCAAAAAACTTTTTGACAAAAACACAATGGTCAAAGTAGTCTTCTCGTGGCCTTCCTCACACATAACATAAACCTTTTGTACCATTGCCTCAAAGCCTTCTTCAAATCATGTAGGCTCTTTTTAAGGCTACACATATAGTTTTATTTACCTTTAACTTGAAAACTATCAAGTTAATTCATGTAAATCTCTTCCTCCAAATCACAATGAAGGAAAATAACATTCATATCCATTTCTTTAACTCCAAATCAAGAGTACCAAGTAAACTCAATTTGATTTTAATGGATGATATTTTTTTCATATGTGAGAAAATCTCATTATAATTAACACCTTTTCTTTTTGTGAAGCCTTTCACCATAAATATACTTTATACCTTAAACACTTAAAATTGTTATCATAATTCACCCAATAGATCCACTTGTTTCCTAAGGCCCTTTTACCCTTAGACAACTTCACCAAATCATAAGTGTGATTATCTTGTAAGGATTTCATCTCATTCTTCATCGCATCTAACCACTTTTTCTTTTCTTCACTTTTCATTGTCTCTCCAAAGCACTCAGGTCTTCCCTCATTAATTAAGATCATATATTCAAAGAATACCTCAAAAATGGTTTTCTTTGTCAATTAAACCTCTTGGGCTAAGCTTAAGGTGGTTTGGGAGCATCACCAAAATTCTTATCTAGTGACATCTCATACTTCTCCTCCACCACCTCCTCCTTCTCCTCTTCCTCATCATCATCATTGTAATAACCCAAACGTACTAGAATGAGAGGGATCCATAGATTTGTACAAGTGTGAGGTTGTACAATTGAGGATGACTTAAATGAATGAATGTACTACCTAAATTAACGAGATGCATCATCATCATAATCATTAGTAGGAACATGTAACCCATCTCCAAGTTATTTTTCATCATCATAATCATGTTGCCCACCATTTTGAACATTAACATTTAGATTATATGTAGGTAATCAATCTTGATCAACATAAGTCAAACTGTTATCTTCCTTGGGTATATTATTCTTCACCTTACCAATGTCTTAATGGTTTGGTTTTCCATAAACTTCACATCACAACTTCTAGCAAATTTTTTTCCTACAGGGTCAAAAAATTTATATCCAAATTCATTCTCACCATAACTTATGAAGTTACATTGCCTTGTTTTTTAATCCAACTTGGATCTTTCATCTTTTTGAACATGCATAAACACCTTACAACCAAAATACTTTCAAGTGATTATACTTGAAATTTTGGTCAAACCAAATTTTATTTGGTACCTCACTATTAAAAGCAGTAACAGGACTAAGATTAATAACATGTCTCGCCCAAAAAATGTTTAGGCAACTTAACTTTAGAGAGCATACACCTTACTTTCTAAATCAATGTTCTATTTGTCCTCTCCACTAAACCATTTAGATGAGAATTTTTAGGAGGTGTTTTTTCATTTACATTCCTTGGTTCTTGTAATAGACATCAAATGGTCCAAATACTGACCACTCTGGCCTATACAAATGCATTTCATCTTCTTGTTTGAATTCTCTTAACCAAAGCCTGAAATTATTTAAACTTCTCTAGTACTTGGTCTTTAGTCTTCAATGCATAGACTTATGGTTTCCTAGAATAATCATCAATAAAGTTAATAAAATAGAATTTACCACTAAAAGATTTTACCTATAAAGGGCCACAAACATTAAAATGCACTGATTCAAGCAACATTGACTTTTTTAGTGACAATGGTTCTTGAAGAATACTTTAGTCTACTTACAAGCCACAAAGTGAGAACACTTTTCCAACTCTACACTCATTGACCTTTCTCACTAATATGACTAAACCTTTAGTTCCATAAAGATGCTTCCATATTTATAGCATTCAAATTGTCTTTAGCAACCAAAACTTTTGTTCAATACAATTTAGAAATTTTCTTCCCCATAGCAACAACTAGGTTATATTTGGTGAGGTTCCACTTTCCAAAACCAAAGTAATTATTATAATGAGCATCATCAAGTAGCTACACAAAAATAAAATTAAAGCTGACATCTAGAGTATTCTTAACTCCTTTAAGTAACAATTACATTCCCATATTGGCCTGCAAGCAAATGTCACCAACTCCAATCATTTTAGACAAATCATCATTACCTATTTTCAATACTCCAAAGTCACCTAGAGTGTAAAATGTTAAGAACTCCTTCCTAAGCGTAACATGAAGTGTAACACCACTATCAATTATTCAAATGTTGCCATCTAAAATATGATAGATTGAATCCTAGTCACAAAAAATAGCAAGATTGTCATTACAAGTAACAGTAGTGAACCAACCACCATCATCATGTTCCTCTCTTTTACTTTTTCTTTTTGTCTTTCTTCTCTCTTTTCCATTATTTTTTTGCATGTGTCTTATTTTGTGGCAATAATGATACTTCAAATTATTGAATCAAGACTTGAACTTGCTTTTTCCTTTGTTCCTTCTTTTGACTTCTTCCTCTATTTTTAATGACATGTACCTTATACTAAGATGAAGTATCTTGGGATTTCTTTTTCATCTCCTTATAATGGCACCACTTTTTTCCATTTGAAAAGTTAGGTGTTGGGCTTATCATAGAAACCTAAAATGTCCCCTAAGACTTAGATAGGGATATTAATAATAGTAGTCCCAAAAGCCCATTATTAGATTTGATACCCATTCTTGACATTTGACCAATAAGCCCTTGAAATTCATTTAAGAGATCTAAAAAGGGAGTCTATCCTTGTACTTCAATTCTACAAGATTTTTTAATGGGTATAATTTGTTATTCCTTAATTTAAAAACATACAAAGCTTCTTTTTTTTCCCACAAAATTAACACATTAGCCTCATTAGCATTGAATTTACAAATATTGCCATTTGCAAGTTGCTCGATAAAACCACACTTGTTGATGTTCAAAATTTTACTCTTCATTAATCTTGGAATTTGACTTATTAGTAGCAAAGACCAGAAAATGTGTATTCATCACATATAACAATTTTTTCATCTTGTCTTTCCATAAGTAATAATTAGCTCCAATCAAAAAATCATATTTGTATAAGCCTCCATCATTCAAGCAACTAAAATAACCCCTTAATCAAATAGATTTAAGGAAAAACTTAATCCAACAACAAAGACGCAATAACAATAATATCTAGTTGAAATAAATTTTTCTTAAATTATAATAATTTGTGAGGAACACCAACAAATATATAACAAAAAAATGGAAATCACAAATGCACAAGAGGCTCCAAGGTTTTAAGTTGGAAAACACCACAATGCTAGGATAAAAAGAAAAAGTCATCCAAACCAAAGAAATAACACTATTATAATCATTAATGGTGGGAAAAAGTCTCCAATAAGTGCATAAAATAATACTTGCAATTTGCTAGACAACCAAGCACCGATGCTTACAAACAAGAAATGACATAAGAAAAACATTCAAAACAAAGCTTCAAATGCAAATAGTGAAAGTGGAGGACCAATTCTAATAAATCAAATGTCCAAAGCTCAACCTAATTCAACAATAAAGAAATCTAATGTTGTGTCTCAATGGTGGATTCCTGGTGAACATGTGTGATGACTTTTCCTATTATATTATCTCTTAATGACAATCATTCTAATTCAAAATAACGAGTCTCTCTTACCCTGATCTAATGTTTCTCCACTTGGATAAGTGAGACTAAATGGATATGCATAATTGGGCATTTTTCCATTTAAGAAAAAAGCCCAAAACCTACAATTTGTTAGTATAATAACAAAAAATATAAAAATAATGTCAGTGACTTAGTACATTCCCTTGTTTTTTCCCTAAGGAAAACTAGAAATCTAAGAAAAGAGTTAAATGACAATCAAATTTTTTATGATCATTTACATAACCCAAATTCAATTTTTTTAAAATAACAACTCAATATTACTAGTTAAGTCAATTATAACTTTGTAAACTATATATAATTTATCATTAGTCAAATAGTTGTTTTGTTTCATATTTATTAAAGTTAACGATGATGCATTGATATATTTACAATAACATTAGTTTGGAAATATTTAATTTTCTTCCAATTAATGCTCTATGCTCATATAAATTAAAAAAGAAAATAAAGGTCTACATATGTTATTTATCATTTTCATCCAAATTACAAAACAAAAACTATGATTTAACAAATAAGAAATAGAATTATGAAAGACTACAGAAAAAGATCAATATACTTTGTAGTTCTTTTAAAACTGAAAATACCTTGTCCCTTAATTCTTTTGTTATAAAACTATAACAAAAAGAAAAAAGTATTTTTTTTCTTTGTTTAAAAAGTGAAAGATCAATTATACTAGAACAAAAATAAGGCTTGAGAATAAAAGTGGATAACTTACCTAAAGGACACATAGGGCAGCATTGACAGGTGATGTAATATTCACCCTTGTTATTAATTTTTAGAATCCCAACATAGTCTCCATATGCTTTGTTTGTAGTGCCACAACCAACCTCAATATAGTCCACGCCTCTCTTAAAACCTAGGATCATTTTGAGTTCCTCTTCATCAAACATAATTCTCCCATCATCTCCAACAGTAAATTGCTTTCTTCGTTTTGATGGTCCTGTTTATTCCATTGTGAAAATAATTCCAAGTCAACAATTATAGAAAAAAAAATTGAATTGACTAAAATATGCTCCTATAATGTTTGAAAATTGTGACTTAGTTATGTGTTGTTGTTTCAAAACAAAGTATAGAAAATAGTCAAGACATAAAAATAAGCATGTTAACATAAGTAGTATCATGCACATGATAAGATGGATAAAGTGTCCTAAATGTGAGACTAAATTCATAATTTCATATAGTTATTTTACTAAGAAGTCCAATTAAGTTTAAATTAAATTATATTAAATTAAGTTTTACTAAGAGGTCCAATCTAAAATTTCAACATAAACTAAAACTACTTAGGGTATATTATTATAATGGTAAAAATAATCTTTGATAAATTAATTTGGCTTCATCTTTAATCCTCAAGGAAATATGGTGAGAAAAATTTTAAAAACTACAATGATAACAAAAAAAAATCACTGAAGAACTAATTTAATCACCAAAATTTGTCAAGAACTAATGTGATGACATATAATCATAAAAAGATTAAATTAAGGATTTTCCCTTGAAAATACTTAATTATTCTTACTAGATAAGTAATTTAAATTTACCTTGATTATTCTCATTAAGTATTCATTTACAATTCTCTTCTATGCAAGACAAACATGTCAATAAAAGTTAGTTTTATGTTATTAGTAGCTAAACTACCTCATTGACAAATTATTATTTTGCATCAAAAAAACATGATAAGAAAATGATGTGGAGCATATTAAAAAGTTCATGTCAAATTATGTGTATTTGACCAAATTTGTAAGACCTCAAACTAACTCTTTTCTATTTTGAGGTATTTTAGATATATTTTTTATAGATTGAATAATTCATTAATGAAATTCAATGGGCTAGTTTATTGGTAAAGAATTTAAATAGTTTGCATAAGGTGCTTTTGATATCTCGTATTATGATGGTCTATTATAAGAGAAATAAAAGGACTATAACAAAAATAACCAATTGGTTATCTACTAGTGGGGGTCGGTGTTAATCACTAGGGTTAGCTAATGGTTAGGTGGAGAGGGAATTGGGTAGTTAGAAGCATAGGGACCTAGGTTCAATCCTCATTGTGACCATCTTTGTAATCTTTCTTATCTTTATCAACAAAAAAGTAGATTAATAAACGATTCACTAGTGGGGGTGGGTGTTATCAAAAAGGGTCGAGAGTTAGGAATGGATATCACAAAAAACATTTTTTTCTTTAAATATATTTCTTTAGAATTAGTTAGTTAGCTACTAGTGGGGTGGGTGTTATAAAAGAGGGGATTAAGAGTGAGTTGGTAGTAGATATCACATTTGATCATCATTGTTGGCAAGAGTACATGTCTCTCAAAAATGTTTGTTTAAGTTTATGGGCAATCAATATAGACTTCATTTCTTTCTTTTTCTTTTATATAGTTCTATCAAATTGGTGTTAGTGCCTTCTGCTATGTTTCCTAATTGCAAACTAGTGGCTTGAGTGGCAACACTAAAATTGTAGTATTCACCTAATCCTAGTAAAAGCGACTAGTTCACAACCAGCCCTATAGGCATCAGAGTTGTGGAGCATGGTGGGACGTTAGGATCCAATTACAAGGTATGATACTTAAGTCTCACATTAAAGGTATAGGGTTTTAGTGTGGGGTATATAAGGCCTCGAGCTTTCTAGCTTCATGAGCTAGCTTTAACGGTGTGACTCTCCTAAAGTTCTTATCAATCCTAAATTCAAATCCTATTGTCACATTTTAAATGAAAAATATCAATAATTAAATGCTTAAATTAAGCATAAATTGCCCAACTAATCAAAGCTTCATTATATCTAGTAACACACCTAAAAAAAGTATACAACAAAAGGGCATATTGCTCTATAAAGGGGATAAAATATCAAACAAAAGAGAAAAACATCATAGAACAATGATTTGTTAGTATAAGATAAAGAAAATCCACCTTGGCTAAAGAAAGAAAACAATAAAAATCCACCTTGACAATCGAGTAATGGTTTTGATTAATGACCTTGGCTAAAGAAAGAAAATAAAAAAATGTCTATTTTTAAGAAGTCATTATGGCTAGAAGTCAACTAGTTTTCACCATTTTTACAATTTTTTTCACTAAATCAAATTGGTTTTTTACTAGTTTTTTTTTTTATATTTAGTTTTTTGAGTAATGATTTACTGACACTCTAAAGAGTGAAAACACCCATTTAACACTCTTTGTCTCTTTGTATCTCAATTTTCTTATCATATCACAACACTAATCATGCCAATCATTTTTCTTCCCTCTCATACTATCTCTCTCTAACTCTCAACACTTCTTAGATATTAGTGAATATTTTTTCATAGCTATGTGGTTCATTGAAATTGGTTATATGGTTGATTCCCAATCCAAGTTGTTAAAATAATAAATTCGAACTGATTTTAAAATCCATATCAATCAATTCCTTTATATTTACAAATAAATATCCAAATACAATTAGCTTTTGTTAATGGGTGCTCAATTGTTGACATGTTTGCGTAACAACACCTCTTAATCACACACAAAAAATATAGTCTATGTTCCTATATGGAAATTTGCCTATTTTTTTTTGTATAACTAGGAGGTTTAACTTCCTCCCACCTAATTTGCCAATTATAGGTAAAATGTTGTACTCTAGTTGCAACTCCATGTCCAAGTTGGAGATCTAAGCCCGATCCTTGGTTTAGGAACACAATCGTTGAACCACTTGTACCGACAACTTTTGATATATGAAATTTTTCCTCTTAAATCAAAACAAAAGCATCTAAATGAAAAATTACAAGTCACTTGAAATCTAAAACAATTAATCATTTTTTTAGTTAAATGGAATAGGGATCTAGTAAACAAAGATATCTGATATTGAATTGAAATTATTCGATAAAAAGTGGATACATCGCCATCAAAATTTGGCTAAATAAAAATAACATTACTTTAAGAAAATAATCTATCAATATAAACTTCGATAATCAATAAAGTCAACCAAAATGAAATGTACTACAAATTATAATTGTGTTTGTAAAAAGAAAGAAAAAAAATTCACTTGTATGAATAAATTTTAACTTCCAATTCAAACCATATGAAAACCTAAAACTTTAAGAAAGCCATTTGTTTTCAAAGAAAAGCATACTGACCTTGTGTTGTTATGTTGTCGAGTTCATTCTCTATCTTTATTCTTGATTCTTTCACTCCTCTTCTACGATTTTTCATTGCCTATAATCAGAGAGTAAAAAGAAACCCTTAATTTTTGTATAGCCCTTACAAAATTCATTTATAAGCAGGAAAAAAATTATAACCTTTGGATCGTGAGTGTAGAAGAAATGCGTGAAAGTTGATTGCAGATAATCTAGATTCTTCTTCCACTATTCGTTTCAAAAATTTAGGAATTGACTGCTTTCTTTTGAAGCAAAGCTTTTACAATGACAAATTTCAATGTCATCTAACACGCTTAATAAGATATGGGAAAAAAAGATAACCGTTAAATATTATTAAAATAGTGAATGCATTAAATAAAAATAAAATTCAAACAAACCCTTAATTTACGCAAAACTAAAAATATAATTAAAGAAAAGAAGCAAGATCATTTTAAATAAATATTATATTAATTACCTCTTATTAAATGAATTTTCGGATGTAAGAAATAAATATTTTTATGTAAAATAAAAATTACATTTAATTGTTTCCATAGCATGATATACAAGTGTTATAAAAGAATATTAAATATTTATAGCGCAAGTTTTGACCCGGTGCATTGCACACTATATATATAACATCTTGGACACATCAGAATGAGAAAGATTCAAAGATTTTACAAGTATTGTACTGTACAATTAAGGATTACTTAAAAGGAAATAATTAATACTACTTAGATACATCTACTTTTTGGTAACTCATCACTTAAGAACTTCATAGTAAGTGTGTTTGACTTAGAGCAATTTAGGAATTTGTGACTTTTTGGAAAGTTTTTCAAAAAGTCAGAGTAATGACAAAGCATGCTAAAAGGTCTTGTGTTTGTTTGTAGAAATAATCATTCATTTTAAAAGAAGTGGCCAAATATTTTGGAAAAGGCTACCTGTAAATGATTTTGATCCGTAAAGGGTTTTGGTGAAAGATTATGATCAACAAGGAATTACAATTAGTATTAGGGCATATTCTATCTCTCGATAAGGTGTGGTTCGAAAACAAACCAAGTGGAAGCTGGTGGACTTGTAAGATTTGAAACACACTAAAAAGACAGAGATCCAAAGGTTGTACCTAAGTATGTCGAAAAAAATTGTACCTGTAGATATCTACGAATAAAATTTGCAATAGGTAGAAAATGGATATTGTAAATGGGTACCCACGAATAACGGGTATGAATATTTTTTATATCCGCATGTTAACATGGAGGGTATGAGTGTTATAGTATCCATTCCCACTAATATTTAATTCATTTGGACTTGTATGAATTTGATTTTATTTGAACTTGTATGGATTTAATTTTATTTGGACTTTGTTTGGATTTATAATAGTTAAGTATTGTATTTTATTATCTTTTATTTTGATTTATGTGTAATCATAATATTTTATTTTAACAATTATTTATGAAGAATATTTGAATTTGAATTTTATAATCTTAAAATATTTCTGTGTAGATTTTATTTAAATTTTAGTTATAATCTTTAAACTTTTTAATGTAAATTTTTATAACTTTTAAAAGAAAAAAACTATTACAAATAACTGAAATGTATAGTTAAACTACTTTATTGAATTTTTTTAAGATATTTATTTTGGTAAATACTCACGTGTACCTGTGGATATCCATGAATATTAAAAAATATATGAGTACTCGTTCAATGGATATCTGCACAAACATGGGGACAGGTACGAGGTAGATATTTATCCGACAAGAAGGGTAGTAGGGAGCTGCTACCCATATCCACCTTGCCTGTTGACATCCCTCATTATACTAATGTGAGATTATATAGTTGAGTATGACTTAAAAGGAAATAATTAATTAAAATAAGACATGATATCGTACCTTTTTTGTATGCTGTCATGTCTTATATATGCATTTTTTGGACTACCCACAACGTAGCACATGAAGTCGCTACCCTTTTAATGTTTCACTTTGCTCGGACTTAGCTGGTTGTCTCCTATTCCTCTCTTAGTGGATAATCTGCTCCTAAGTTTTTGATTACATATTATGGCCTTTGGGTACCTTTTGAAGGTAAGGAGTGTGACTTTGTACACATTTTAAAACTCCATAGTTAAGGATGCTTGACTTTGAGCAATTTAGGGATGAGTGACCTTCTAAGATCTTCCTTAGAAAGTGTGTGAATGGAGACAAAGCACGGTGAAAAGTCTTGTGTTAGTTGTATGGATAATTGTTGACCCTAAAACAAATGATTGGGCATCTTGGAAAGTGTAATAACTTAACAAGTTTCACATTGACATAACTATACCATAAAACATCAGCTACCCAGCAAAAACTTTAAATCATTATCCCAAGTTTATCATACAACAAAACTTTGACATCATCCATTTGTAAATATATACTTGAGATTTCAATGATTGAGTAAAATAAAAAAACTATAAAGCAATCCCTAGTCATCAAAGTAGGAAAAGAAAATCTCCTTAAGGGGTTACACTCCCAAAATATATAAAACCTACATACATACAACAAAACAACTATACAACTGAGTTGATCCTACAATAAAACACTAAAACCAGGAGATCAAATGTCTTTGAGTTGCTCCATTCTCAAGATGGTCACAACAACTCCTAACTACACATCCTCCAATTATACCTAGTCTACTCCCACATCAAGAGATGATAATCGTAGTCGACACAACAAACAATAGGGTAGGCATGATATAAAACAACCTTAGAAGAGAGAGAGGGAGATCAAATTACTCAAAGAGTAACTATCGATAAAGTTATTTTACTCAATAACTCATAGTGCATGTTAATTTTTTAACAATCCAATTATTAATTTAAAAGTTCTTAATCTATAGCTCAAGTTTAGAAATTATTATAAAATTTTAAAATCATATACTTCATTATATAGATTCAAATCAATGTATAAAATGTTTTTCTAATTATCCATCAATTTGATTTAATGAAATGAATTATCAAATAGTTTTCAATTATTTTTTAAATATTTGTAGACTTGATGATACAGGACCATCCATAAAGAGCTCACACATGAAGACCATACCATCCACGGAGAGCTCACACATGAAGACCATTGGACCTTTAACTAGGTCCATGGTTAGGAGGCTAGAAGATGCTTCTACAGAGGAGGTGCTTCTTAGACCTATGCTTTATATGAGCATTTAGTATGATTCTTCTTAATAGTTCCTTAGTCCCTATTGTACATACCTTGTATAGTTAATAATAGCTACCATTTCAGTATTGGGATGACATCGTATGAAGTTCTCTATAGTAGGAGATATAGGACACCTTTATGTTGAGCAAATTTGGGAGAGAGTTTCATCTTAGCACCTGAGGTAGTTCAGTAAACCACCAAGAAAGTGAGAGTAACCCAAGATAGGATAGTAGCCCAAAGTAGACAAAAAAGCTACTGTGATAAGAAAAGAAAAGATCTCAAGTTTAAAAAGGGATATTGTGTATTTCTCAAACTAACTCCTTGGACTGGAGTTGAAAGAGCATTAAAATCACACAATTTTACTCCACGTTTCATTGGTCCCTACCAAATCCTCAAGAGGATTGGTGATGTAGCCTACCAAATAGTCTTACCCCTATCTCTTTCAAATTTGCATAGTGTCTTCTATGTTTCCTGATCTTTCTCATGTCCTTGAGTTCGATAACATTCAGTTGAAGGATAATCTCACTAATGGAATTGTTTCCTTAAAAATTAAGGACAAGAGAATGAAACAACTAAGAGGTAAGGAAATTTCGTTGGTTAAGATTGTTTAGAGAGGAAATATTGAAGAGAGTAATACTTGGGAGCTGTAGAGTCAGATGAATGAATTTTATCCATTCTTATTCATTTCACATAATTTCAGGTACGAAATTCCAAAAACGAGGGGAGTGTTGTAACATCCCATTTTTTCAAAATTAATTAATTAATTACAAATATTTTAATTTAAATATTGAAGGGTTGATTTTATAAAGCATTTTGATATTGAAATTATATTTTTATTTGTTTTAATTAAATTGTTTGTGAATCATAATATAATATATTATTTTATATTATTATTACTTTAATTAAGTGAGGGGAAGAGATATATAACTAGAGTCAAGCCTAAGTAACTCTAGATGAGTTAACGGAGGTTAAGTTAAGTTTGTTATTAAAAAGATAGATGCATTAGTTATTTCCATATCCTCAGAAAATTTATATTTTTTTACGGATATTTCCGTCAAAAAATTTTGACGGATTTATATTTTCGTCGGAAATTTCCGACAGAAAAATAAATCCGTTAAAAATTTTTGACGGAAAAATAAATCCGTCGGAAATTCCCGACGAATTTATATTTCCATCAGAAATTTCCGATGAAAATATAAATCCATCGAAAATTTCTTATTTTTAATTCTTATTTTCATTTTCTAAAATTGGAATTTTTATTTTTATTTTTTATTTTTTATGTAATCATTTTTAACTACTTTTTATTTAAAACAAAAAAGATAAATAATTATCTTAGGTGTCACCTACAACAATTACGTACTATTATCGTATTGATATTTAACACCTCTAAATTTTTTTTTTAAAAATAAATATTATTTATCTACCTTAAAATAATCAAACTAGTGAATTTATATTTTAGAGGGATGAAAATTAAAGAAAAATATTTTACTCATTTTACAAGTAGGAAACAATATTTATAAATCTTACAAGGATGAAAAATAAAGAAAAAAATTTACAAAGACCAAAATCAAAATCACCCATCTTATAGGGACTAAAATATATTTAAACCTTCTAAAATTAATATTTTCGATCTTAACAATTATTTTAAATAAATAATATTTATTTTTAAATATTTATAAACTACTTAGAGATGTTAGTATATTGTCTTTAAAATTATAGTAAGCAAGTTCAAGTGTGAATATTTTCATATTTGTGTGTTTCATGAGTTTTCTATTAAATAATTAGTGCATATATTAGTTTATTTAACATAAATAGTAGTTTTATATTTTAGAAGA